AAGAGGAAATTTACATGGAGCAACCTGAGGGTTGTATAGTGTCTGGCCAAGAAAATAAAGTATGTAAATTGCTAAAATCTTTATATGGTCTAAAGCAAGCGCCTAAACAGTGGCATGAAAAATTTGATCAAGTATTGATTAATGATGGTTTTTTATCAATTGAAGTAGATAAATGTGTTTATACAAAATGTATAGATGGTACATGTGTTGTTATTTGCCTTTATGTAGAAGACATGCTTATTTTTAGTTTTAGCCTTGATTTGGTACATAAAACCAAATTTTTCTTGTCTTCTAATTTTGAGATGAAAGACATGGGAGAAGCTAGTATTATTTTAGGCATGAAAATTATAAGAGATGACAATAGTTTGGCGCTGACTCAAGAACATTATGCTGAAAGAATTCTTAAAAAATTTGATAATTTTGATGTGGTACCTGTAAGCACTCCTTATGATGCTAGTAGTCAATTAAAAAAAGAATAAGGGAGATGCTGTACATCAAAATAAATATGCTCAAGTTATTTGTAGTCTAATGTATTTGATGAATTTTACTAGACCTGATATTGCATATGTTGTGTGTAGATTGAGTAGATATACTCAAAACCCAAGTCATGATCATATGAATGCATTAGTAAGAGTAATGAAATATTTGAGAGGTACCATGAACTATGGTATTAAATATAGTTGATTTCCCACTGTACTAGAAGGATACAATGATGCTAACTGGATCTCTGATTCAGATGAGACAAAATCTACTAGTGGTTATGTGTTCATCCTCGGTGGGGGTGTTGTGGCATGAAAATCTGCTAAACAAATAATAATAGCTAGATCTACCATGGAATCTGAGTTTGTGGCATTGGAATTGACTGGCAATGAGGCCAAGTGGCTAAAGAACCTTTTGGCAAGTATTCCACTAGGAATTAATCCGACACCTTCTGTGTCGATGCATTGTGATTGCCAAGCTACAATAGCCATTGCCAAAAATAAATTCTTTAATGGGAAGAGTAGACATATCCAATTGAGACATAATGTGATAAAGCAGCTGCTGAAAGATGGAATTATTTCCATAGATTATGTGAAGTCAGAAGTGAATTTGGCCGATCCTCTGACTAAACCTTTGGGAAGAAAATTAATATCTGAAACATCGAGGGGAATGAGACTTTTTCCAATTTGAGTTATATCAACTATGATGGTAATCCGACCTATGTAATTGGAGATCCCATGAAGTAGGTTCATATGGGTAATAACAGGTCACTAGTTGATCAAATGTGCACTATTAAATTATATCCCTTCCTATGGTGTGTGTATATAGAGTGCAAGACTGCAAGGAATGGGAGATTGAGTTATTAAACTCTTAATCTAATCCATAGCCTAATTTTAGGTGTTGTATTGCGCTGCAGAATACACTTGATGGATTGACCTATATAAGTGTGGAGTGGGGCCGCTCCTATAAAATTTATGGCAAAAAATTTCTAGAGCACTCATGAAAACCAGGCATGCGCATGGCCTATTAACGCAAAACCGCGATAAACAACAAAGTGTGTGGGGGTATAATGTGATAGATAAGACACTAAACTTACAAAAAAATTCTTGGTTCATAGAAGGTTTGAACTTCACCAATTGTTCTATAAGTTTAATCTTATTTTATCTAGGTCTGGTTCATAGTCTAAGAGATACCAGATGCGACGCGTTATGCTCATTTGTGAAAACCCATCAAATTTTTTTATTTCACTATGATATTCTTTTTGAGCTATGTGGGGATTGTTAAAAAAAAATATTTTTAATATCTCAAAAAGAATATTCAAATTGACAATAAATTAGAATAATTTTGAGTAAAATGTTTATTAACATTAAATGAGTATTAAAATCAATTATATTTTTGTAAGTTTGAAATTGACCAAAGTTGGTCTTTGTCCGTTTGCTAGTATTAAATATGATAATCATTTCCTTTAAAAGTTAAAAGGAATGGTTATAACTGCTTCTGTTTTGGAATTGAATTTTTAATGAATTTTAAAGTCTCATCATTTCAGATCTTGTTATTGAATTCTTAATGTTTTCTTATTGATTTCTTAGCATTGAATTCTCAAAGAATTTTACCGTTTCTTCATTTCAGATGTCCATCCTCTTGGACTATAAATAAAGCTATTTGTTTGTGTTCATGGTAGTAGTGTGAAAAAAATTTAAAAAACATTTCCCTTTTTTTTTTGTGCTGGGTTTTCTTCTCATAAATCTTTGTTGTTTTGCCCCTAGTTATACTAGAAGAGCTTGTTGAATCCTGGGGGATATACCTAATATTACTCATCTCGGTGTGGGCAAAATATCCTTAAGAACAATATCTTTGACACGCCTCAAACTAAACCTTTTATTCTCCATAATCATCCAATTTTTTCCAACACTTAATTTTCAGACAAACAAAGAACAGTAAAGAGAGAGAAACAAATAACCCAAAAGGAAAAAAAAGCAATTTACTCAACACTGCTTTGGGAGTTATACTTTTTATTATTAATTTTTTTTTACAAATTTCTATACATAAAAATAATTTACGTTACAAATTTTCTCATATAACACATTCACTTAATATGTTAGTTTGAATTTTAGAAAGTCAAAAAAATGCTATACAGAGTTTATTTATTTTGATATTTTATTTTAAATTTTTGTTGTCTTTTCTCACCTATTTTGAAATGAGTGTTTAATTTTATTTTTGTATAGAGAATGCGTGATGTTTTTCTCAACCAAATTTGTTTGCATTATTTCTGCTTCCCATATTCAGAATACCTTGAAATATTGTACTTCAATTAGTAAGTATGTGAAAAATTAGCTCTCTGAATTTTTTATTTATGTGGACAAAGAATTAATATCACTTGGGGATCATTTGGTAGGTTATACAAGAATAATACGGAATAAGGTGGATTAGTAATGCATGTGTTAATTATACATAGAATAATACTAAATAAATTGTATAATAAATACTTGCATTAGTAATACATAAATTAAAAATATGTACCAAACAAGGAATTAATAATATCAAAAGTTAATACATTCATTATTTTATGTAATACATCCTAACAAATGACCTCTTGGAGTCCCTTATCGCTATCGCAACATTGTAAGCTGAAGTATAAGGCTGCTTGACTAAACTTTTAAGAACTGGATTGGAGAAGTGTGACAAAAATATTTTGTGAAAGTGAATTTTTTTCAAAAGATGTCTATTTAGTCTTCTTGTTGTGGTGTCACTGTGGTTACTTCTTATTTTTACTTTTTTGCCTAAAACAAACATATATGTGATTATCATTTCACATTTGACTTTTTCAGGGAACTTGAATTGTACACACTCACAATACTAGCTTTTTGGTCAATCCTTTGAAAATATAAATCTACTATTTTATTATTTTAATATTTCAGAATTATAAAAAGATATTTTATGATTAACGATATTTTTATATTTTAATTAAATTATAACAAAATCAAATCACTAAAAAAAAAATACGACCGGATAAATTGACTAGTCTAAGTAAAAAGTTGGATGGCAAAGTAAGTACTATATCCTTTCTGACGTTAAAGAAAGCCGCAACATCTAATGATGGTGGTTGCTGCTGTATCACTTCCTCACGCCACTATACGAAGGGCGTCTAAAGAACCTGTTTACCTCGTAAAATGAGAGTAACAATTAAATATAATTAAAAATATATAATTTATTTTAATACTAATGAATATACAAGTAATATGAAGTTTAAATAAGAAGAATTAATGAGTCAAACCGGTATTGCTACAACAATAAGAATCTCGAGGTCAGCTAAGAACAATGAAGTATGAATAATAAAGCAAAAGTAATAAAACTGAATAACACTTGGTGAGCATGTTAAACAAAAAAAGTAGAGTAGAATATTCTATTGCAGTGAATAATGTGTGATACAAATGATTGAGGTACCTTTTATATAGAAAGAAAAAACCCCAATATAGTACATTCGTAATTGAGGTAAAGAATTCTATTGGTACAGGTGTATAACAACCTAGTACGGACCTGTACCATTTCGTACAAATCTTATCCTTTAATTTATGTCCTGATCTACGTGTCCTTGAGAAATTCCTGCTCTTTCTTGATTGCCCTCGAGAATGTACTGTCCTCGATGTAGGTCGTGCCAAGCCTTCGATCTGCTTCCTCGAGGTGTGTGTCTTTCAGCTGGGTCTGACCTCTAATTCGAGTCGCCGAAACCCGAACTCATAGCCCAATCCAAAACTTCGAAATTGAGCTCATTGATTTTGATCGTATACAGAACCCTTCTTTTTCTTTTTGCTTCTGATCGTTGTTCATCAGCTGCAAACTCCCATCTCTCTAATTAACTAGAGAATATTTATAAAAAATAAGGGTAGCTCATTATACAAAATATTTCGCGTTCACGTAGGATTTGAATAAAGGGGTTTGATGTAAACATCTATCATAATGCAAGTATCAATGGCTTGCTTCTGCGGCTCGAACCCGATAACATTTCATTACGTAACAAAATTTTTAATAAAAAAGCCACTTAGGTGGACTTAATGAACCAACTAAAATTAGAAACCCGATACACTGCCTTCCTTTTTACAGCAATAGAAGACCTATTTTCATTTGCAAGACAATTCTTTTGTGTAGAGTTTTAATCCCGTGATATTCTTTTATTTTTAATCTTTTATTCTCTACTATTTGTTGGCCACGAATAGCATATTTCTTTTTCTTAAAACGAGTATCTATCGGAAACAGACTCTTTAATTTTTAGGTACACACTATCATTAGTGGTGAAGCCACATGATCACAAGGATAGTCAATTAAGCATTCTTTATTGGAAAATTGCACTGTATATATAGATAAAATATTATATTTTAAAGTTATATAACACATATTGAACACCCTTTATCTAAAAATGAACCCTATATTTCCTTTCCCAAAAAGTGGTGAGACAGAGAAAGTTGATGAAGCAATTATGTTAGGTAACATGACAAATAATAGTGCGTTACCAAGTTTAAGAAAGACTTGCGTCGTCAGTACAACTTTAGTGACAACCTTCCTAGTGTAACCCCCATTGAATTGATTTCCACCGTCCGATCTACTGACGTGGCGTACCATCACACGTCAAAAAGAGCAGATCGGCGCCAATAGTGAGGGTGGCAGTTTCAGAATCACGTGTCTGTACCGGAAAGTGATCTCCTTTTTCTTCCTCTCGCCAAAATCCCTTCTTCACTCCTTCCCCCCACCCCACTATCATTCCTTCTGTATGAAGGTACCAAAAAGAAAATTTTACTCCTACTAGAATATTCTATTAATCCCCGTTTTCTGATTTTCAGGCTACATGTTCTGTTAATCGAACTATTTTTCAGAGATTTAGGGTTTCACTAACTACCTTCTGTGAAAGGAGGATAAATATGTCTTTTACCTCGGAGTTGTATGCTCAAATGGGTCGCAGGAAAAGGAGTAAGAGGCATTTCGCATTAAGAGGTACTTAGCCCTTTGCTTTTCTTGTTTAATTTTTTTAGTATGTATGCTTTGTTTCTTTTGTTTTGTGGGTTTTGTTTCATACCCTTTTTTCTTGAAATTGCAGAATGTAACAAAAAGTTGGAACTTTTTATGCACCTGTTTTATGGTTGGTAGATCTTGTTATCTGGTTGGGCTGTTACAACTGAATTAGTTAATTGGGGCATCAAGGTAGTAGCTTTATAGTTTTGACAATCTGGGTGGTTTTTGGTTAGATGTAGTTTGGAGGACTGCTTATGATTTAGAGGTAGCTTAATTACTTAAATTTTTGCATGGAGAACTTGGGTAAGAAGAGAAAGGGAGTAGATATTTCAGTTACTTGTCAAAAAGATGTGAGTCCTTTCACAGTAGTCAGGTCACATTTATCACTTGAGGATTACTCGCGAAGGAAAAAGAAATCTAGGGAAATTGTGGTTGAAGATGCTAACTGTTGTAGGAAGAGTGTAATCACAGGAGTAGTCACTGCCCCGCCTTGTGGGAGTGCACGTTCACGCTCACCTGGACGAGGACTTAAAAGGAAAATAGGTTGCCTTGATTCAGCCACGCGATTGGGGAGGAAGAAGAAGATTGAGCAGGATTATGAGATGGGAGAAGTTATTGGGAAAGGGAAATTTGGGTCTGTATTATTATGTCGTAGGAAGTTGAGTGGAGAAAAGCATGCTTGCAAGACTCTGCGTAAGGGGGAAGAGATCATTCACCGTGAAGTGGAGATAATGCAGCATCTCTCTGGGCATCCAGGTGTTGTGACACTGAAGGCTGTTTATGAGGATGCTGAATCTTTTTATCTTGTTATGGAACTTTGCTCAGGCGGAAGGTTGCTTGACCAAATGGCTAGGGTAGGGAGATATCCGGAGCAACAAGCTGCTAATGTGATCAAAGATCTGATGCTGGTTATTAGATACTGTCATGAGATGGGTGTTGTGCACAGGGACATTAAGCCCGAAAATGTCCTCCTTACAACCTCTGGACAAGTTAAGGTTTCAGACTTTGGGCTAGCTATGAGAATTTCAGATGGTAATTCAAGATGACCTATTTTCTTTGAATTTGACTTGCTAAGTGATAGCTTTCATTTTTTTCTGCCAATTTCATAAATATCTTTTGCACCTATATTTTTTTTATCAGTATTTGGCACCTATTATATTTACATTTAAGGAGTCTGCAGGCAGACAAAGCTGCATATATCTGTATAAAGATTAATTTCATCATACAGATTATACACTGTCAATTTTGTAAAATCATAGCACTAGAAAGAAACTGCATGCAAGTTTGTGAAGTTTAAGGTCTCTCTGGAATGATATGATGATGGGGTTTTTCATCTAAGTCTCAACTGTTTGTCACATAGGATCTTAGCTATGTTAATGTTGTCTCTTGTGGGCCATCATGAAATCTCTCTTTTAAAGTCATTTTATTTCCTCTTGGAAGATTCCTTGCTCCAAACTAGGTGAAGGGGGTTATGCACATGTGTGTGTTTCTTTTCATTCTTGCTCGAGCTGGATGATGAAAGATTTTCATGAAACCGGCTGGAGATTTGGGGGTCGGGCTGAAACACTTGAAGATGCACATTTGGGGATTTGATGATATATGTTCGCACTTCTTTTTGTCTTGTATTGTTCGTCCCATCTTGCTACCTTATTTAATGAAACCTTTACCATTTAAAAAAGATGATATATCTGCACAAACACACACACACACACATACATACACATGTATGAATGTGTATATGCTCAGCTGTTTCGTTTGTTCAGCAATGAGGTATCTGATATGCTGAATTCTTTATTTTATTGTGCTTGTAGGTCAGAGTTTGACTGGTGTGGTCGGAAGTCCAGCTTATGTTGCTCCTGAGGTTCTGCTTGGTGATTACACTGAGAAAGTGGACGTATGGAGTGTCGGTGTCCTCCTGCATGCACTTTTGATGGGCGGGCTCCCATTTCAAGGTGATTCTTTGGAATCTATATTCAGCGCAATTAAGGAGGAGAATCTTGAGTTCACTGGTGGACCCTGGGAATTTGTGTCACAACCTGCTCGTGATTTGCTTTCCCGTATGATGACAAGGGATGTTTCAGCAAGGTACAGTGCCGATGAAGTACTAAGTGAGTAACCTCCAGATCTCTTCCATTTCTTAGCTGTTGCTTTGATACCTGTTCGCTTTATATCTTATATTCTTTTGTTGGTAATTTCTTTTGGATGAAATGCACTCAAAGAGGACTAGACAGAATTAAGTGGTTGGGATCTACCTTTGGAGAAATTATTTAGCAGCATGTATGTGTTCTCTTGCAAATAGAATATGACAGATGATTGATTGATCATCTATATCTCTGGTGTACCATCCTACTCTATGAAAAGACAATGCTGACATGATTCACGAATTGTCAAGTAACCCCGCAGGGGAAACACCAGGGCAATTCATATGGATGTCTGTGTCATGTAACTTGTAGTATTAGAGCAATCGTATATACTTAAATGTTTATACTTCCTATATTTCCATAATTTTCTTAATGTAACCAAGCACACTAATTTAGGTGACAATTGAAATTTTATTTTATTTTGATGATGTGGGTCCAAAGTGAAGAGAAATCTACTTGGCCTAGTGGTCAATGAAGTGAGTTAAGAATTATGAGGTCTCAGGTTCAAATCCCAATGGAGAAAAAAATTAGGTGATTTCTTCTCGGCTTGAACATCTGTCCACGCCTTATTTAAAAAAAGAACTTTTGAAGAATGAATTAGAGCTTATTTATTTGGAAGTGAGACTAGTAGTAGGATACTACTAGGAAATTGGACACAACTTTTGGCGCACCTAAAACCAAAATAAGACGATTAAATTGCGACATAAAATTTAAAACCTTTTGTTGCATAATGCGTAGTAGTATTATTAGGCCAGCCTACGAAAAGAATAGAAAAGTGAATATGGAAGATCAGGCTAAAACTTAAATTTACCCAAAAAAAAAAAAATTAGATGAGACTTGATTTCATCAGCTGTTAAAGACCTTCTATGACTGAAAATATTCTACTATGGTTACTATAGTGCCAGATACTTTATGTTTTCTGGTCATTTTAGTTGCATGGTGTGGCTGTGATGATATGAATTATGAGTTCATTTATAGATGATATGAGTAGAATAAATTGATGTGATGTTGGGACAAAGGAACGAATGCATATTTGATAACTTGCATAAGAATCATAAATTCTTCGAATAACTTGCATCTAATGTATTCCTCTTCAGAATCCATTTGCTGCCCCCATCCTAAGCCTTAACCCACCGCGCGCGCGCTTTGGGGGGGGGGGGGTTAAAAGCATCAAAAACACTGAAGAATCTACAAAATTTGTGAATTTTCAGCTGAAGATAACTCGCTCCATAGGCCTAATAATTTTATTCCCTGTCAACAAGCTATAAACTATGCTGACGAACATGTTCCAAAGATTCAATTTTGGTTAATTAAAGTTCCTTTAATCGAGAAAGGCTCTACAATTTCGTTAACACAAAAAACTACTTGCTAACATATCTCAAAACTCATTTTGGAAAAAACAATCTTATAGAACCACGCCGTACTCTAAAAGTATTTGTGTCAGTCAATGAGCTTTGGAAAAGGTATCAGATAGGAGTTCCCCTGGTGTTGATGGAACAGTCATCTGTATTTATGCGTAGGTTCCTGTTGATAGAATTCACTTTGACATTCTTGCTCTGAAATGTTGGCTGACAACGTCTGTTAGAACTTTGGTGTAAAAGTGTTACCTGACATTTTTTTTTTGGGGGGGGGGGGGGTGTTCCACACTGTTTATAAGAATGACGGCATCTCATCAAAGTCTTGACAGCGAAAAGTTGTAAATGTCTAAATCTCACGCTTGTCTGAATGCATTGCTTTGTGATTTCCGGCTCTAAATTTCGTGATACCATTTTTCTTTATGTACAGGGCATCCATGGATTTTATTTTACACAGAACCCACATTGAAGAACCATGTAAAACCAATCAAAAGCAAGCTGACTGCTACTACTAGGATAGAACGGGAGAGAAGAAACTTAGCCTTTAGCTCTCTCAGTGATGATTTTGGTTCAACTTTTGGTAGTTCGTCTAATATGCCTGAAGGTGAAGACTCTGGTTTTATCGATGCTCTCACAGTGGCCGTTTCACATATGAAGATATCAGAGCCAAAGAGAAGTAGAATATGCAGCCCAGCCAGAACAATTGATCAAGACTGTCCCCCTAACATACAAGCTAACCACCTCTGTACAGCATTTTGACGGGTATGACCTTCAGCAGCATGTACTGTTCCTTAGCTTCGGAGCAAAGGCGGAGCACAGCATGTTGCAACAACTATTGATGAATCGACTTCCCAACTGCATGAAGTGGTAACTGGCGACTGGTTTCATTTAACCTTTGGCTGTGAATAAATTGTTAATAAGAAGAGTTCTGTGTCAGATAATATTGGACTAGTTTGGCGTTGCTTTTGGCTTGTGAATTCTTAACATTTTTAACTTGTCAGTTGGAGAGAGTGTGTGTGTGTGTGAGAGAGAGATGTAAATAAGGCGTGTTTTCTTAGTTATTTCTCTGAGCCCGTTGTAAAAAAGTTTCAAGGGTCATAGAGATAATGCATTTGGAATCAATCTTGTTTAACAGCATCAGGGATATAAGCTGAGTAATTTATTTTGAGTTGAAAGAAAGATTAATATTAGGTTGATCGTGGAAGACTTCATCATGTCCCGAGGAAAAAGAGCATAAACCAATATTTGACACCACGAATGGATTATATAAAGAGAGATTATATGTTTTTGATAGATTTAAGAGAAAAAAATAGGTTAAATACGATGGGAGATGTGCAACGACGAAGTAAGGAAATTGGCAATGAATATATGTATTATAACGTTTTGAAACGACCATGTTGGACCCATGCAATTCATGACATTTAGGTTTGAAAACACTATGTTGTAGTAGTCTTTTATTATTAGCCATTTTTCACCTATGGAAGACAATATTGAATGTTAGAAATTCTATCATTATCATCTGTAACTAAGTATTAATTAATGGGCTTCTAAGCTCGGCATAAGATATCTTGTCACACCACTCTCCAGCAAACTCTTTGTAGATTTGCAGCCTCAATAAGTTCATATAGTTTGGCGTGGCCCCACTCTCACCATTATTCATTCCCCCCATATCATTTCTTTTTGCTACAATTTCTTTTCTCCATCACTTGATTATTAAGGTTCTTTTTAAAATAAAATAAAAAGGAATCTGGTCGAAAAATAAGGGTGGTACTCCATTATTAGTCTCATAAAAAAGTAGCGGCATGTCTGCTATATCAGTATGAGTTTATGAAACAATGGTGAACATGAACATACCACATGCTTGAGAATGACTAGAGATATGATAACCATATACTATGATTATCTTATTAATAATTGTAAATTCGTCAACTTAATCAGACTAAAATAATCTAATGTGGCTGCGTTCTCACTCTGACAACTTTATATTGTATGCACTTATATGAATGATATATCTTGTTTTACCTATATATTATATGAATATTTCTCAGTTTTCTTGAACAAATAAAAATAAGTCTTTTTAGTTACATAATTTAAGATATTTTTAACTCCTGATTTGATCATCTCGCTTATCCATCAGATCATGAGGCTTTTGATGTTGTATACGGGTGAAAACGGAGATGATGCCTACCCGATTTCCCGATAAGGAAGACGGAAGAAGGGTAGGGACATACGAGATTGAAATCGAGGATGGAAGCCCTTCGTGTCGAGGCCAATAACAGGTGAACGATGTGCTTATCATCAGGTGTGATGAAGCAACACTTTCCGGACCCAAAACAAGCTCCAAAACCTCAAAAAATATGGCAAACGGTTGCACACGACTAACAAATGGCCGTGATATCCATACCCAACCGGATATGATGATGCAAATCTCGTCCGATGTCGGCTACATATCAGTAATTAACGAGAAATAGGAATTTTTACCTTTTTTAGAATTGTATTAGAGATGAAACTCTCCTACTATATAAAGGGGAAGCTTTTTCTTTAATAGGACACATTGTAACAGGTAGGAGTGCGCATAGGGTATGTTGGTTCGGATTTTATAATTACCAAATCAAAACCAATTGTGTCGGGTTACAATATCTAAAAACCAAACCAAACTAATAAAACTCGGATTTTCAATCTCGGGTTTTCGGGTTATTCGGGTTTTTTGGGGGGTTTTTCCGGTAAAATCTTCGTAGAACAAAACATATAACTTGTGCTTAAAATATTTATTTAATCCTAGTAAGATGCAACTATATAAAGTATTTTCCAAGAAAATAATATAAAATATGAGATGTGTCATGGCATTATCCTAAAATATTCAACAATAAAGACAATAAAATTATGTAATATAAATATTGCTAATTAAAAAGCCATAATAAAAATAAACATAATCTAAAAGTAGTAAGTCATGTTAAAATAAGTAGGCTAATAAGAGAGTATTAATTATATGACTAAACGCTAAAGAAAAAATAAAAATAGGTTATGCATTTTTATCCAAAATTATTGCAAACCAAAAAAATGGATATTCAATACATTCTCGTTCGTAGTAATGAATTGAATGTCTTTTGTTAGCATTACTATTGATTTGATTTTGGTTTGGGCTTTTGTTAGCATTATTTAATTGTAAAAATTGCACGGGGCGCCCTATTTGGTCGCCCCTATTTAACCTATATCCATTTTTTAAAAAACTTTTAACTTGTACTCACTTTTTAAACAACTTCAGCCTCCTTTCTCCTCCTCCTTCTCCATCACCATCACCGGACTAGAGAGAAAAAGGTCACTATCTCAATTATTGAATACTAGCGTCTAACCAGTGAAAGGCTTGACTTCCTTCATCTTCATTGCTCAATTTTTCGCTATCTACTTCTCTAAATTTTTTTTGTACCCATTCCATTTTGNTTTTTTTTTTTTTGTACTCATTCAATTAGAATGGAATCATAGAGATGTATTTGTCACAGAAATACACCCAACATCATTATCACATTTTGTTTCTTATTGCACAACAATGAGTTGGAAACCTCAATTCCAAAAATTAAATTTTTGAGCATAATTGCAGAGTTACTTGTAAGTAAGATAGACAAAGATGATAGTGACATAGAAATGCTTCGTAACGCTTGCTCATGTGTTCAACGATGACGTCGATAATGAAAATGGTGTTGCTCTCACAAGAACAATGTACTTCAGCTCTAGAGCTGAAGTTTGTCAGTTACAAAACAAAAACTTCAGCTCTAGAGCTGAAGTTCGCTAGTTACAAAAACAAAAACTTCAGTTCGCCAGTTGCAAAACAAAAACTTCAGTTCACCAGTTACAAAATAAAAACTTCAACTCTAGAGCTGAAGTTCGCCAGTTATAAAAACAAAAACTTCAGTTCTAGAGCTGAAGTTTGCCAGTTACAAAACAAAAACTTCAGCTCTAGAGCTGAACTTTAGGCTCGTCTACTAGAATGCTGAAGTTTTGCGTGATTGTCTTTGCTACTTCAGCCCCGTATGCTGAAGTTATGCAAAAAAGCGAGTACGCTTGCAATTTTTTTTGCAAAGCGGGCACATGTTAAAACGTGACACAAAAAGCGGGTATAAATGCAAATGCCCCTATTTAATTTATTAATATTAATGGCTATAAACTTATTAGAATATTCAAAAGTTCTAAGTCCAACCTTGAAATAATACCTTAAAAGATAAAATAATGAATTTTTTTAAGAAATATTTATAAATTACATCACAATAAATATATTTATATAATAAGTATATCTATAATTTCTATATATGTAATGTCGGGTTGGTTTGGTTTCGGTTTGACTTTCTTTGGTTAAAACCAAACCAAACCAATTATGGTCGGGTTTTTTTTTCCTACATCAAACCATAGTCAGGTATTTTTTCTCGGTTTGACTCAGATTATTGGGTTTTTGCGGTTTGTCGGTTTTTCTTGTACACCCCTAGTAACAGGCATACCAAGGCAATACAAATTCATTTTTCTGCTTTCTAGCTACTGCAAAGTTCTTACTTTATTGTTGTTCTTCATTTACAATTGGTTTCGAACCCAGGATCCGACCGAGGGCAAAACTACTGTTCAACCTTAAGTACGAGTTAGATCGTGACATTATAATTGGTAGGGATGTACATGGACCAGGTTGGTTCGGTTTTTATCAAAACCAAACCAAACCAACTATATCGGTTCGGATTAGTTCGGTTTTGTAGGGTTTTTCGGGTTTTCGATTTTTTTTGTTACATGAATATTATTCGAATCTTACTTTGTTAAAGTTATAGATAAAGTTTTGATAAGTGAATATAAGTTTAGTAAATATCGAAAAAAATTGACAAACATATGATCTATTAAAATATTCTAATGGGAGAATTTTTTTAGTAACACATGATAGTTATTTTCTTAGTCATCTAACAATTATTTCCCGTTAATGTATGCTTTCAAGGTTAACATGAGAGGATCTCAAATATGTCTACACTTTTTAAAGAAAATTCAATATAAAGTTTTAAAAATATATATATATAAATTATACATTTATATGTCGGTTTGGTTCGATTTTTTTTACTCAATACAAAACCAAGTCAAACCAAACCTAGTCAGATTTTTTAATCTGTTTGATTTGATTTTTCGGTTTGGTACCGTTCTCCGGTTCTGTTTAAACACCCCTAATAATTGGTTTGATTATTCATTTTTGTCTTTAATTCGTTTACCGAATATCCTTGATTATTTGTGTCGAATCGTTCTACATATTCTTAAAATCGCATACAAATTTAATTGTTATCCGTTTTAAGAGTAAACAGGTGTATATAAGAAAAGACCGCCTTTGATGCCACCAAGCTTATCTCGGTCATTTTCAGAGGAGAAAACTATTAGTTATTGGAGACCATTCTTAATTAAGGAATAATCCAATAATCAAGATCATTATCAAATCAATTTGGATGTCTTCTCTTCGATCCCTTATTAACTATATTACTAAAAAAATTACTGAAACTTTCCAATTTTTGGTCGTAACTATTAAAAGAAGTGGGGAATAATGATCAATTTGCAGCTCTCATTTTCTGGAATACTTAATTTCAATCCATCAATCTTTGCCTGAAAAGTAGCTTTAAAGGAACACTATATTGGGTATATGTTATAATTAAAAATTCTGCAGTGAAATAAAGAGACATGGGTCATGACTCATGAATCTGACAATGGCCCCCTTGGCCCTTACAGAAATCTCACTTTCATATAAATGTTGATGATTCCAAAATGGCTTATATACTTCTCTATCGTTACAACCACAATTCATGAAACATTTGGGACCCACAACTTTTGTTATGCACCATTCATCGGGGGTGTACGTACAACATCCATTTAGCACTTGCTCATGATGCGTTTTAAATAATGTGGAATTTTCTTAAAATTAATTAAAAGCGGTTAATAAGTTAAAATGTACCATAGGCTAAAACATGTATTAAAATTAGATATTAGCGCGGATATCCAGTTTTATGGCCGTAAAATGCCAAAAAATGCAATTTGCTCATGGCGGGCCGGTGACATTGGTTCCTTAGGTCGTATTTGATGTCCAGGACAAATATTAGGCGATCCGGATCCGGATCCTCCCGAGCCTATCTCAGTTGCAGAAAAAGGCGGAGGCTCTGGAGCACCTCAGGGGT